GATGAAGCGACGCGGTGTTTACCCGATGAAGCGACGCGGTGTTTACCTGATGATGGGCCTCTGCAGCTCCGGCTGGGTGAAGTGCACGATGTGCTGCAGGATCCCCCACAGAGAGATGGGGATGGTCAGGAAGACGAACACGCCGGCGATGAACCAGGCTTTACTGTGAGTCCCAACCTGGACGGAGACGAAGAGACACACAGAGTCAGTCACAGTCTCTACTTAGATGTTTATTGGCAACAATAGAAACAAAAAAACTAAACAGAAGGAAAACTGTTTTGTCTTGTTTAAGGTTCATTTCTTCACATTTCATTCCAGTTGAGCTTCTTGTCGTCAGTTTTTCCAATTTAAAACATTGACAACATAAACTCACGGTCACCGTTCGTCCTTGTATTTGTCGTAGCACTTTACATACCACAGAAACTGCAGTAAAAGTACTAATACCACACTGTGAAAGTACTCTGCTATGAGTAAAAATTCTGCATTGATGATGTTCCTTCATTAAAGTTTATTCAGTCAAATTTAAGTAAAGGCAGCACATATATTTTAGAAGGGCTGGAAATAAACATTATTGTCATTGTCGATCAATCTGTTCGTTATTTTCTTGATTTAATTGATTAGTTGTTTTCTCAATAAAATGTCTTGTTTTGTCCAAAACTCTAATATATTCAGTTTACCGTCACTGAGGAGTAAAGAAACCAGAAAATATTCACATTTAAAAGCTGGAATCAGAGAATTTAGACTTTGTATCGCCAGAAAATGACTCAAAACGATTATCAAAATAGTTAACAACTAATCGATTAATCGTTGCAGCTTTATTTCTAAGACATGAAGCTCCTGAAAGCACCAGGTCCTCTCCTCCTGAGTGGAGCTGGAGGTCCAGCTGATGGTGACGGAGGTAAAGATGGAGGCTCACCTTGTCTTTCTGCAGCTCCCAGATGCTGAGCGGCAGCACGGCCACCAGCAGCAGAGCGTACAGAACCAGAACCAGCGGGCGGATCCACCTCCTCCACTCCGCACAGGAACACGGCATCACGGCTGCTTCGCCCTCAGCGACGACTACAGGCACATCCTGGACCAGTGAGCCGGGGCGGGGGGGGGAGGGGGGCGACCAATCAGGTTATCAGGATTTATTTACTATTTTTTTCTTCTTTTAAAGGTGCATCATCCAGGAATGGTAAGTAAGTAGAAACATGTGGGAGAGTTTGTACGATGCTCTGGTTCAGAACAACAACAATATTTCATGTTTATTTTAATAAATGTTCCCAGAGTCTCTAACAAAATACAACCCAAACCCAAAATGTGATATTTAAAGCAATATTTGTCGAAGTGTTAGCACAACCTAGCTAACAAAACATAGCTTTTATCAAAGTAGAAATACATACATTTAAATTTGCTAAAATTGGGCCGCAGTCTAAAATACTTCCCAAATTAAAGTAGCTTTATTAGTATTTTTTTCACATATTTGAGTGTTAAAATTCACTGAAATTAAACTAATAACTAATACAAAATAATGTATTATTAAAGGGATGAACACATTAATCATGCAACAATAATTATAATCCAATAATATAATTAATATTGTGTATTATTATTTTATTAATATACAAGTACATTTTGAATGATGGACGAGTATGTATTTACTGTGTTGTACTTTACTTAAATAAAACATGTTTAAAGTGTTTATCGCTCATTTTTCATCCATTAAAGTAGAATATTTCTCAAGAAGAGCTTATTAAACACACTTTTGCTCATCAACGTACATTTTAACAATATATTAAAGTACGTTAGGCCTGCTGAATATTTAAACTCGATTAAACAGACTGTTTAGCTCTATATATTATATTATATTATATCCATATTTGTATGACACTAAAAAAAACTAACATCATGTTCAGGCCTAATATTGCGAAGTCATGGAGGTTAAAAATATCATTAAATTCTACATAATTAACGTAAAACCCGCACTAAACGCAACATTAAACATGACGTATTGCATATTAGTATTAGTGTATTTTTCGGGTGAAAATATAAAAATATGGAAATATTTATCGAATAGAGGGTTAAAACAGACAGTTACAATAAAACACGTGATAAAATATATACATAAATAATATATAAATATTTGATACCGTTAAAGATGAGGAGCGACGGTTGGTTTGGTTTTAACGCCCCGGTAACCGTTTCTGTTACCAGGCAGCGCGTCCGTCCTCCGACTGAGCAGAGACCGTCTGATCCGCTCACAGACCAGGACCCTGAGGACCAGGACCCAGATCGATCTAGTCTATCCGGTATTCTTCCGTTTTTTCCGGTGGTGGTCACCCTACCGACGCCCAACCGTCGGTGTCCGTGTTCAGTCCTCCGCGTGACGAGGATCTCTCTCTCCATCAGTCACGTGGTTGACAGGAAACAGCCCTCAAATCTAATTACCTTCATTTTGAATTAATCCTCACAATGCGGCCACTGTTGTTTTAATATCCATTCATTTATATTACGTTTTATTCCCAAAGATATTTAATAAATAGTCGGAAGTAAACAGGAAGTCGCTATTTTACTGCGACCCTGAATGCACCACGAAACAACAACAACAACAACAACAACAAAGATGACTGAGAATTGGAAGAAGTCCTCTCGTGTTTTCCTAGAGGGTAGCAGGGACAGTAGCTGGACAATGAATGAGATCATTCACTCACACGTGTGTGAACAAGTGTGTAAGAGCTTTGAGAATATAGATTTATTGATAAATACAAATATGTAATTGAAATGTTTTTAACTCGATAATAAGACACAAAACTCATAAATAGTCGGTGATGTCAGAGCATTAGTTCCTTCCACTTAAATAAAAACATGTCTGGACAACTTCTGACCAGATTTAAACTCCTTTATCTCAACGTTACCAAATATATTCTTATATCTTCAACAGTTTGTGGGATGTAATGAACTGTTCAGCCTCCAGAGGGCGCTAGATCTGTTCCTAAACTCCAGACTGGTTTAATCTCTTTACAGGCAGAGTTACAATGAATACGTTACATATAAAACATAATAATAGATGCACAATATGGACACCCAAACATTACAACAATATGTGATCGTTAGATCATTTGATCTTCCACACCAAACTGGGTCAAGAACATGTCTTTAAACTACTAAACACATGACTCACCGTGCTATTATTGTTGTTGTTACAGGCTAACATGTTGTCTTAATAAATAAATAAACATAATAAAGTTTAAAGAACTAAAGTGGAAGAAAATCAACCCCAGACCAAAAGTACACGACAGTATGCTGTCCACCATATAGTCTATGTAATATATCACCATACAATAACTCGTCTGTAGTATAATACAGTATTCAGAGCTGAATGAAGACACAATGAAAAGCTAAAAAGTGAGCGTATGGACACAGAGGTCTCTCTCAGTGGTCAGTGTGTTTGTACTGCAGGCTCGTCCCGTGGTGGAGAGGCTGCATGCTGTTGGGGAGAGAGCCAGAATAACACCAACAGCACAGACAGGACTGCAGAGAGACAGACAGACAGACAGACAGACAGACAGACAGACAGACAGAGAGACAGAGGGACGGAGAGACAGACAGACAGAGAGACGGAGAGACAGACGGAGAGACAGACAGAGTTTGATTAGAGGGGAACTCCAGGGATTTAGTCGTGCACTTTCATTGAGTTTAAACTGAAGATTTAAAGAAGAATCACGCAACAGAGGCCCAGATGTCCTAATATTTACTCTAACACCTGATCCTACATTTCCCATAATGCAACATTTCCTTTGACCTTTTTTTTCAAACTGCACACCTCCAGTACGTGATGCAAATGATCACAAATCTAACTTTTTATGATACAGAAGAGAGCTGTAAGAATAATTTAAACAGATGTGTGAACAAACCAACATATTCTTAATAAACTCACACGCACTCAAATAAAAAATAATATGGTGGACTTTAAAACTGCACATTTAATGTATAAAATACGATAAAAGATGCTTCCAGACTGAGTCTAGAAGTGTTGTGAATTAGATTTAGTGATTCTGAACTAAGTTTACAAAACATTTTTTTTTTTACGTTTTTTTTAAAAATTAGTAATAATCTTTTTTTTTTCTTTACTTTCTTTCCGCCAGCAAAAAAATATTATTGTTATTTTTTTTTTTTACTTTTTTTTTTGACTTTATTCGAAAAAATATATATATTAAAAAAAAACTTTTTTACTTTTTTTTCCGCCAGCAAAGAAATAATAATAAGAATTTTCTTCTTTTTTTTTTTTTGCTGGCGGAAATGGGCTTCCATTGTTTCCACACGTCGTCCCGGAAACAATGGAACAGTGAATGTTCCCAAATATTCATTCATTGTTTACTAAAGTTTAGTGCTAAACAGGAAGCAGAAATACGAACGGTGAACACAAATGTCAGACTTTAAAGGATTGTTTCCACTCGGTGAGTACACTGCCCTTCATGTGTAAAGCCGGTGGAGTGCCCCTTTAACAGACATGTCCCTGGTCACTTCCCACAAGTCCTTTTTATCAACAGGTCACAACCTTCCCTATGTTTATCGCTCCCACAACGTTTATCTCTTCAGTCTGTCTTTGTCTCACGACCTCTGACCCCGTGACCTCGTCGTGATGTCACGCTGACATTCACTCGCACCCGGAAAGCACGGCGACGCTTGAGTTTAGTTGTTTACCTTGAAGCAGTTTTTGAACTTCTTGGAGACAAAGAAGAGGATTATGGGATTGATGCAGGAGTTGATGGTCGCCATGTTGATGCTGAGGTAGTCGAGCACCAACAGGAAACTGCAACCACAGAAGAAGAAACGCATGACATCAGCTGTGGGAAGTATTCAGATAATATACTCAGGAATGGGATGAAAAACATCATCCGAGAAGTATTATTTGCATGTTTTTTGTGAACGTGTGTGTCTCCCCTCCTCCCATCTTACTTTAACAGTTGGCAGCGGTGTGCATCATGGGATTTGTAGGCGTTCCTCTTCAGCAGGCGACTCAGATGAAGTGGAAACCAGCACAGAGCGAAGATCAGCACCAGGCAGAACACGGCTTTAGCTACTTCTCGACGCTGCGGAGAGAGAAACGAGAAGGTGAACATCAAACACGCCATGTGTGTGTGTGTGTGTGTGTCTGTGTGTGTGTGTGTGTGTGTTTACCTGCTTCAGGTGTTCACTCAGAGCGATCCTCAGGCTTCCCTTCTGGTGTCGGAGCATCTCGCAGGTCATCAGGCCGTAGAAGACAGCGGAGCAGACCAGAGGCACGCAGAAGTAGAAGGCGAACAGCCACCAGTCCTTTGCATCCCGGTAGAACTGGAACACATTTACACACGTGTGTTGTTTTATACTTACATCTCAAAATGTTTGTCGAAGCGTCAGAATCTTTAACCATCAAGAACTCAAGGAAACCCTGTGAACTCCAAACATCTCCATATCACCCATAAAGCACTGAGTATGACCTCAGTATGAATCTAAAAGTGTCTGGTGACATACTACAGTATGCAAACACTGGACACTATGCCGGCATAAATCTCCCACAATGCAATGTGGTAGTGACGACCACGTTCATATTCTAAAATCTCTGAGAACACAGTAGAACCTTCAGATGGTTCTTGCACATTGTAGAACCGCTGGATCGGGATCTTTGTTTGGAACCAGGTTCTCAGTAGACATCCTCGGTAATTTAACTCAAAGATGTAAAGACAAGAAAGAACACATCTCAGTTCTTGTGTTTAATCCAGCCGTGATCTGCAGACGTAAACAGGAAATGATGTTCTAAACCGTCCGAGTTAAAGAGACCTCGCCCTGAAAACACAACAACAGAGCGATCACGGGAACGGACCAGAGGGTGCAGTTCCTGTCCCCACGGAGACCCTCCATCAATCAGATGGACCGGGACCAGGACCCAGACCCCCCAGACCCCAGACCCACCAGACCCCCCAGACCCACTCTGTGCCTTTACATATTCAAATTCAGATCCTTTACTACAAGTACAAGTACTAATACCACACTGTGAAAATACTCCACCATGAGTAAGAGACCTGCATTCAAAACCTCAGTGAAGTAAAAGTAGTATCAGCATAATCTATATTCAATATTCCTGCTGCATTCATGTGTATGTTTCATGTTTTTAACTAGTTTAATTTACATTAATGCTTCATATTATATTACGTCATCATATGTTTGCATGTATGTAAAAAGTCAGCTACTAGAAATGGAAATACTCAAGTACAAGTACCTCAAATATGTAGCTAGAGTACTAGAAAGTAAAATCCCTCCACTGTGTAGTTGTTGTTTTGTGACGGTTTGAAGGTGAAGATATCAACACACGCGCGCACACACACACACACACACACACTCACGGTCATGAAGGGTGTCTTGGGCTGCAGCATGCAGGTCTTCATGGTAACGTTCCGGTACTCGAAGGTGACCATGTCGAACCCGACGGCCTCCGGCACCGCCAGCACCGCGGACAGCAGCCAGATCGCCACGATCTCCACCGCCGTCACCGTCGGAACACCGGTGCCCTGCACCCGAGACCAGGACGCCACCGCACGATACCTGCACACGTAATTATTATTATTTATTGCACCATGAAGTCACCTTATCCTTTCTAATTAAGTAATTATTTGTAATTGGATGATAATGGGCTGTTTTTGTTGTTGTTAGCAGCATGAATGTTTGTTATTGTTCCATATCTCTTTATTTTTAAAGCTGCATTCTCTCTAGTGACCACCAGGGGGCGACTCCTCTGGTTGTATAGAAGTCTATGAGAAAATGACTCTACTTCTCTCTTGATTTATTACCTCAGTAAACATTGTAAACATGAGTTTATGGTCTCAATATCTAGTTTCAAGTCTTCTTCAATACAGCATGATGTTTATTTAGTACATTATGGTCCATTTAGAGTCACACAGACCATAAAGCAGGGGATGCTTTAGGGCGGGGCTACACGGTGGGATCTGACTAAAATGTCAAACTATTCCTTTAAAAGCTACACAATGACCGTGTGTGTGTGCGTGTGTGTGTGTGTGTGTGCGTGTGTGTGTGTGTGTGTGTGTGTTACCTGTCCACACTCAGAGCACACAGGTTGAGGACGGTGATGCCGACTGAAGCTTTCTGCAGGAAGGGAAACAGCTTACAGAGGAACAGACCGAACACACTGTCGGCAAACGGCCACCGCATCGCCAGGAGCTGCACACACACACACACACACACACACACACACACACACACACACAGATTAACATGATATCACAGAGTGTCTGTGTGTGCATTATCTCAGTCAGTGGGATATTTTAGTGCCATTATCAGTGTAACACTCAACCTCCTGACTGAGACACACAACACACACACTGCTACCACTGGGAGAGGGTTTTCTGTCCCATGATGCATTTCTGCACCCATAAACTCACAAAGTACCGCCAGTTAATGATTATAGAGTCTTTATTTTATGTTTTCAGCAACTTTAATTGCTTTTTTCAAGCATAAAAACACGAGAGTGAAAGTGAGATATGTTGGATTTACCAACTTTCACAGAGATATAATAACCACAGCTATCATTTACAAATATTTTGAAAGAATGTGCTTAACCCACGGAATGAGACACTTTATTTTAAATATTTAAGTGTTTGACGCATCATAAATATGAATATGTATCTGAAGTGAGGAGCAAACATGTAAATACACTCTGACACACTGACGCTCTGTACCTTGTAGACGTTGATCGGTATGTCGATGGCGATGTATATCAGGTCTCCCAGAGCCAGACTGGCTATCAGAGCGTTGGGTCCATTCCTCATGCTTTTATTTTGGCAGATAATCCTCAGCATCGTGGCGTTTCCGATGATCCCCACGGCAAATATGAGGCAGGACAGCACCGTGTTGATGTACTTGAAGGCGGATTTTATGAAGGTGTTGTGCAGGCATCTCGGGGGCGACGGCGGGCGACCACGAACCATCAGGGTCGAGTTGGACGACGACGAGTGAGACGGAGGCTTCCTCTCGTGTTTGTGGTTCGGCTTGTTCACGTGCTTCGACTTCACTTTCTCCAGAGAGGACGGCGGCTTGATCGCGGTCTCCTGCACCAGATGTGGCTCCCCGTCGGAGGCCGGGGCGCGATGGTCGGGCCCCAGAGGCGGGTCGGTGCCGAGGAGGTCAAGCAGGGGCGACGGGTCTGACGGCTCGGATGAGAAGTTACTGCGGCATCCGACCGGTACGACAAACGCCAAACACCAGGCGACCAGCAGCGCGGTGAACATGGAGGGAACCCTGGAACCCGACCGGGGTCCCATTCTGGAACCTATTACAGAAACGGTCCCGGAGCCTCCTGAACCCATTCAGTGGAACTCTAGAGCAAACTTTGGAACCTGCTCTTGTATCTAGAACGTATTCCGGATCCAGTTCCAGATTTCAGAACCTCTTCTTAAACTCCACGGCTGCAGGTTCAAGAGGATCTAGAAGTTCTCCAGGTGGATTGTGGTGTAGAAGGTGTTCCGGGGTTCTCTGATTGATTCGGTGTTCCGGGGCTGAGAGCAAGATAAAAGAAAGAAAACACGGCTGGTTAGAAAGCTTTGCAACTTTTCAGAATGATAAGACTTCCAACTTGTCAAGTACAGATGCTTGGTTAGTAATTCCAACGTAAAAACCCACTCATCTGACGGAGTATAAAGAGTGAGATGGTCCACATTGGGCGGGTGGAAGCAGAGATCTCAGAAGTCTGAACTTACTGTGTCTTTCTAAACTCTGGATACCGTTCATGACGAGCAACACTGAAGCCTTTAAACCTCTGTTCTCTGAGTTGTTGGACTCTCTAGCGTAGAGGAAACACTGACCTGTCATCACCTTTCAGCAAACAGTTGCCTGCTTACACAAGCTGCAGATACAGAGCAAAACAAATCCAACATTCTCTCTGTTTTTGCTCCGTTTTTGGTCCCGACCAACACAGAAACACCAGTTCTTTAGAGCTTCTTCTCTGAAAATGATGCTATGAGAGCTCTAAAAGTGAACCAGACCAGTAGAGGATCGGGCTGGACAGATACACAACCAGCTTAAGTGACGCTGAAACATAATTTAATCTACTGTTCGTATAAAGTTATTAATTATAGCTCATATTTAATTTCCCTCCTTACAAAACCTAAACTATCTGCTGTCTGTGAGCCTTCATCATCAAACCACATCGTTTCACTTCAAATAAACTTCAACAATCTGTTCTAGTGATGCCTTTTATCATTGAAATATATTCTTCTGTTGATTCTCTCTTGAATCTTGGAGAGAATTGTAGAATAATTTCACTCAGAATTCAAGTTGCATCCGGTGACAAAGCAAGAGAATGTGTTTAAATCCACCTGTTTGTGATTCCGTCTTCTTCTGTGGTTTTTACTTCAATTAAATCCTTCCAAAGTCTTCACGTCAATGTAAACGAGAGAAGAAGAAGAAGAAGAAGAGTGTGCTCGTCCTCATCGAGACTGAAGTGAAGAAGTCAAACTGATGAAGCTCAGCTCTCTCCTCTCACCCCCTTCTCACTTTTCTTCCCCTTTGTCGCCCCCTTGTCACCTCCTCCCTCCTCGCTACAGTGGAACATCTTGTAAACACTGAAGTGACTGAACTTTTACTATCCGACACACACACACACACACACACACACAACTTTTCACCCATTTCTTCCCACTTACGAGTTCGTTTATAAAACGAGGTTGTGGAAATTGAGGCAGTAAAACATGTGACTTTACTGGAGTGTTTGAACACAGACTCGGTTTTCTGTACTTTATTCTTTCTGGTTTAAAGATATTAAGACTTAAAAAGCCGCTCATTAGATTTATCAAACAGAAAGCAGAACTAGAAGATGTGATTCTTTATTTCTGTCTAGTGAGATGATGCTTTCTGTCTCAGTACTCAAGTACTGTACTTAAGTACACATTCAAGTACTTTTACTTTCCTCGAGTGTTTCCAGTTTCTGCTGCTTCATACTGTTAATATACTCATACTCAATATTGTACTTTTTACTACAATTGTCTGTCAGCTTTAGTTACTTTTGGATTACAGTTTTTAATCTGTCTGTCTGTCCAACTGTCCATCCTTCCATCCGTCCATCCTTCTATCCTTCTATCCATCCTTCCATCCTTCCATTCATCTGTCTGTCCATCTTTCCATCCTTTCATCCTTTCATCCTTCCATCCATCCTTCCTTCTATCCTTCCTTCCATCCTTCTATCCTTCCATCCTTCCTTCCTTCTATCCTTCCTTCCATCCTTCTATCCTTCCTTCCATCCTTCTATCCTTCCATCCTTCCTTCTATCCTTCCTTCCATCCTTCTATCCTTCCATCCTTCCATCCTTCTATCCTTCCTTCCATCCTTCTATCCTTCCATCCTTCCATCCATCCTTCCTTCCTTCCTTCCTTCTATCCTTCCTTCCATCCTTCTATCCTTCCTTCCTTCCATCCTTCCATCCTTCTATCCATCATGACCTCTTGCTTCCTCTCAGACTGACTCTAGTTCAGTTTGTTTGTTGCATTAAAGGCAGAAATAAACAGATGAAGGCTGTACGTGACTACGATCATGTCGCCAGATAAAGACTTCTCTCTGACACACACACACACACACACGCACACACACACGCACACACACACACGCACACACACGCACCCTTCAAACCTGTTATTATTATGATGCTAGCCAGTAGTAATCACAAAGGCAGAATGTGTTGCTGTAGTTGTATGTGTAGCAGCAGTGAAGTACTTCTTGTTTCACAGTGACGGAGCACAGAGTATTTATCTCTACATGTTAACTGGACTCTGTCCTCACCGCACAGATGAAAGGAGATGTATTGCATTTGTGAAGAAGCTTTTCATTTGAAGCAGAAACACAGACGACTTCATGACGACCGACTGCAGCTTTGTTATCTGGTGGAAGTTTAGTTCTCGCCGGTCGAAGGACAAATTACACTTTGAGCTAATTAGAACGAGCAGAAGGACCCAGAGTCTCGTTAACAGACAGGAAGCGGCTCTCTGGCTGCTGCTCGTTTTCACCCCGAACATGAAACGTTATTAGAAACTCTGCGACTCTTTGATGAGAAGAATGAATATACGCCACAAAAGCACAGTTTCCATCCCAGCTGTGGTGAGATCTCCAACATCTGCAACAGCAGCAGTCCTCGTGCACGTTTCACCGTGACGTCTTCTGTTTAACTTTCTCTTCTGCAGCTTTTATGTTTTTGCTCTTTTGTAACGTTTTCTCGCTCTGTATTCACACGCAACAGACAACGAAGAGTTAAAACCTTTAGTACACGTTTGATTAACGTTACTAAAGTCTGAAGTCCACGACACTTCAGACTTTTTAAAGTTACTTTAAAAACTAAACATTTTTTACACAAAACATAGAAATCTATTTATTTACGATTAGTCGATTAATCAGAATGAGGAAATGTTTAATTTCAGCAACTTTTTATGTAAATCATTAGTTAATAGTTCAAAAGGAACTTATTTTACATTAATGCACAAGTAATAACAATCTAATGATATAATATATATTAGTACAACAGTCACAGTTTGAATACTTTAACTCTATTTTACTGATTATACTGACTTTCACTGAAGGAACGTCAAGTTTTTGTACTGTGTGGTATTAGTACTTTCACTAAAGGAACATGAAGTATTTGTACTGTGTGGTATTAGTACTTTCACTAAAGGAACATGAAGTATTTGTACTGTGTGGTATTTGTACTTTCACTGAAGGAACGTGAAGTATTTGTACTGTGTGGTATTAGTACTTTCACTGAAGGAACGTGAAGTTTTTGTACTGTGTGGTATTAGTACTTTCACTAAAGGAACATGAAGTATTTGTACTGTGTGGTATTTGTACTTTCACTGAAGGAATGTGAAGTATTTGTACTGTGTGGTAGTAGTACTTTCACTGAAGGAACGTGAAGTATTTGTACTGTGTGGTATTTGTACTTTTACTAAAGGAACATGAAGTATTTGTACTGTGTGGTATTAGTACTTTCACTAAAGGAACATGAAGTATTTGTACCGTGTTGTTAGTACTTTCACTGAAGGAACATGAAGTATTTGTACTGTGTGGTAGTAGTACTTTCACTGA